AAAAAATAAATAAATAAATAAATAAAATAAAAAAAAAATTGATGCGAGCCAACGATAATACCACTTCACCATCATCTTTAATTTGAAACGGCATTTAGGGCCAGGGGCCTCATATGTGTCAGATATTATTATACCATTTATTAGAGGAAAAAGTATAGACAATTAATTTGTTTCAAATTAATAGAGCCATTAGTGACGGATCCGATAGGCTTTCCCCTTTTGATTGTAGACTTCTTTTAAATTGTAAATTCAAAAACTTATCTGATACGATTAATATATTTGTATAACAAGCATTTGAAAATACAACAATTGCAGCTTTAGAAGGAAAATACACATCTAAGAAATTTAATTTATAACTTACTTTTGTTTTGACCGTGGGAGTTGCATTAGTCTCTGGCCAACAACTGTTATTCAAAACCGTTGCTATTTTGGAAGTTGTGAATTTTCTAATAAGGAAATAACCTGCCTGGTAACTAATAAAGAACAACATATAAGTGTTATACTCATTTTTTAAACAATAGCGTGTAACAAGGATATAATATAGTTATGCTCCATTTGCAAAATTCATATCAAAAATTTATTAGGTCTACTGAACAACGTTTATAGCCTCGCCGTGGTGGATGATCCTATTCACAAACCAACCGAAGCATAACATAATTTGCACTACTATGGCTTTATCCTTTGCCGTTGCGTAATTCCATAGGCCTACACTCCGTACAAAACTATTATCCTAAAAGTGCTTTTATAAGGTTGTACTCCCTGAATAGACCTACGTATATTTCCTCCATGGTTTACTATAGGGGAATGTTGTCAGCATCTATAGCGGTTAATAATTGGTTCTGAACGTTTTGGACAACAGGTAGTAATTTCATTCACGCTGAAATTTACTCCCATGGAGTATCGAATTGGTAATTGGTAATATTTTAGTACAATAATTTGATTATTGCTGCCTACATAAAGTCACAGAACTTATTTTAAGAAAGGCATACCATGCAGGTCAAATGTGGATTTATTGAAGTTTTTTTTTTCATAAAATGCAATAAGCCTACATCGTTGCGTTCCATTATAAAGATTAGGTACGCCGACTAGAGTGGCCAGTAGAATACGTCAATGGTTTGTGTTCGTTCAAAATGCTCATTGCTCAACTAATTCGAGATACAAATTTTCAATATAACTTAAATTACTTATTGATAAGCCAACAATAGGACATGAAGTCCACACGTTAACAAACACACCTGAATACATGTAAGTTAAGTACATAAATATCCTACACAGGATCAGGATATGATTGTATCTCCCTATAGAATATATTTGAACAAAACTCAATGACAGATAAGAGGTTAGTTAGGACTCAACGAATAAGTTGAAATTAATATTAACCTCTAGGCCTTTAATGGAACATTCATTAAGTCAGATAATATAACATCAATTAATAAAGCTATCTATAGAACATTTTTATATATCCGTTGGCATAGCAAGTACCTGGCTCTAGAGAGGTATGCGATGTTAGGCCGCAGCGTTATTTCAGTACTGACCTTATGATCATGAACGAGGAAAAAACATTGTAACCGCATATTTTAAGAGTACGGTATAATATATTAAGCCAATACAGAGAAAGCATACGGTACTTACTGTACGTTGGACGGTAGTTTTTGTGAACCGTTGCAAACATCCCATGTATTTTATACAACTGGTAGGCCTACAGTGTTTACTTTATGGTCCACACAGGACTACAACGCGTTACCATAACGATGTCGCTTAAGTTAACGCGCACACGTGCTCACAAATGCGCTTTGGTCTCCACGCGATATTATGGCGTGATAGAAGAAGCAATAATATTCTTTTAGTAAACATTGATATAAATTTATATTAAATTTCCCACTGCGCGCACATAGACGTACCTAAACAGACACCTGCAGTGAATCAAAATGAATCCTTTGGTTTTTAACTTTTGCGAAATATTATTTTACAGATTCAGTGATAAGCTTGAATTTCATCGTTAATTGACAGAACCACGAGCGACATTATTGTGAATATCTTTAATAGAAACAAGCCAATCAGACGCAAGAGAAAAATAAGAGGGAATTAAATGTCAGCGGGTTGCGTAGGTCAGACGATGCCAGTACTGACGACTCGGGACATCCATACGCGTTTTAAGCAAAACTGGCTGGCTAGAAATCCACCAAAAACTTCTAATAAATCATCAGCCATGACAATGAGTGACGATTCAAACGATTCTACCTCGAGCTCCCTAGACGACAGTCTAACGAGTCTGAATTGGCTACAGAACTTACGAATCATGAAGATACGTCCCACTCCACCTGGAAGCCCAACACCGCTGTCGTCAATAAACGCGAATGGCACGCAAAAACTGACAGGAAACGTACTAAGAATCGTCGGACAGAAAGCAACCACAGCAGAAGAAGTCAAGGCACAAGAACGACTCCACCCACAACACACTATTTCACTAGAAAATGTGGATTACAAAAGTAACCCGTATGTAAAACCCCCCTACTCATATGCAACTTTAATATGGATGGCGATGAAAGAAACGAAAAAGAACAAAATAACTCTATCCTCAATCTATAAATGGATAACAGATAATTTTAAGTTCTACCAAGTCGCTGATCCAAGTTGGCAGGTAAGATAAAAACATTCATAAATTTCAGTAACTAATAGGCCTAGGCCTAGGCCTAGAGTTACATTAACAAATTAACAAACTAAGAAGGCCTGGTAGATATCTCATATTAATTTTAAAGTAGTAGCAGCCAGAAAATATGAGGGGAAG